TCAAAGCATAAAATCTTGTAAAATGCAGATGAAAAGTCAACAAGTCAACAAGCATTTATTAAGAGCCTACCATGCGACAAGCACAACGCTGACAAATACAAGGGCACAAGAAAGTCCTTGCTCACAAGGAGCTCACAATCTAATAGAAGAAACAACATGCAAACAACGATGCACAAACAAGACGCATACAGGATAAATTCAGGATACCCGAGGGAAGGAAGACATTAACGTGAAGGTAGAACGGAAAGGATTCTTGAGGAAGGTGGGGTTTTAGATGACAGAAGCTGAAGAAAGCCAAGAGACGGAGGCAAGGAGAGAGTATTCCAGGCATGGGGGACAGTCAGTGAAAATGCCCAGAGCTGGGAGATGGAGATTCTTATTCCAGAAAAGTCACGGGACTGCAAAATACATGGAAGTGTAAGAAGACTGGAAAGGCTGGAAAGGGTTAGGTTATGAAGGCCTGCAAAAGACAAGCAAGGAGTCTATTTTTGATGCTTAGAGGTGACAGGGAGTTGCTGGAGTTGATCGAATAGGGAGTTGGGAGGGGCTACATGGCCTGACCTGTACTTTTAGGAAAATCAATTTGATGACTGGGTAGAGGATAGACTGGTAGGGGCAGATTTGTGACAGAGATCCCACACCCCCCAAGCAGGCTACTGCAATAATCCAGGAATGAGGTGACGAGGGCCTGCCCCAGGGTGGGAAATACTTAAGTAGGTACATAGGTTTTGAAGGTAGAATCAACAGGCCTTGGGAACCCACTGGTTATAGGAGGGGTGGGACAAAGTCGAAAATGACTGACATCTAGGTTTTGAGCCTGTGTGATTGGGCAGATGGTGGTACCCTTGACCATAATAGTGGGAATTAAGAAGGAAAGATTTAGGGGGAAAGATGAGTGCAATTTTTGGACATGGACAGTTAATATTCAGTTTGAAATGTCCAACAGGAAGATCTTTTCCTTCCCTTTTATTAGCATACAGACATTAACACTAAGCAGCTACATCCTTAGTTTGAGTATACTCAATTTATTTCAGCTACTGATAATCAATTACAGAAATTGAGAACATTAAACAATAAATCTTTTTTGTCCCTTGACACATTACTAAGTTAAAAAGACCATGATGATGCTGTGGGAGAGGATCACAATCACCCTAGGATTTGAAAGCATTCATTAGTGCCAATAAACAAGTTCGTGACTCTCCTTGGGAAATTACAATCAAGTCTCCTGCTAGTTAAGGAGCCTGGAGACCAGGTGACAAATGCTTAGTGATCACCAAGGCTCAGCACCCTCTAGTGGCCAAACATAATTTTGTTCATTTTCATATGTGGCGTCCTCCAAGGCTCAGGCCTTGAAAATAAAAAATTAGGCTTACAGGAAAAGTTAAAAGTGTTTAAGGGGAAGTGTGCATCCATGTAACAATCGCTCTAATCCTTCACATCCCTTGCTGATCAGGACCACTGGGTGGTGACTGCTAGGATACAGACACAAAGAGCTTTGCAAGAATTTGTTTAGGGACAGTTAGGTGGTGCATTGGATAGAAGTTAGGAGTACCCAAGTTCAAATTCGGCCTCAGACCAAACATGTGACATATACTAGCTGTGTGACCTTGGGCAAGTCACTTAATTCCACTGCCTCAAACCCCCCCCAAAAAAAGAATTTGTTTAAAAAAAAATTGCCTGATCAGTTTATAAAATTTCCCAGTAAGGCAATGTTGATTCTAGAATATGATCAACTCAAAATGTCAGTGGGATAACAGCTGGATTAAAGAGCTCTCCAAGAACTGGGTTCTGCTTGGGAGGTGATAGAATCCTTTTACTCACAAAATTATTTCAATCCTTAAGTGTATCCATAAACTGATGACTTTTTTTCCATCCAAATAAGTGCTCTCCCTCAAGGTCTGACAGCAGAAGGCTATGTACATACTCTAAATTACATTACAGAAGAAGTGATTGGTCCAAGGTCCCTCAAACTGCAGCACCCAACTTCAACCCCAGGTCTCCTGACTCCAAGATCTGGGTTTTTTTCACTTTTGGTCCAGACCCATGATTTCATCAGTGTAGGGAACTCTCTGCTAATGCCATCCTGCAACTCCTCTTCAGCTTATAAACTGTAAATCCCAGGTGCCTGGGGGACTGAGAGGTTAAGAGATATGTTTACATGGCTGGTTGTCAGGACCTAATCTTCCTAATTCTAAAGGTAGCCCTTTAGACACCACATTATCTCTTCTATCTATTGACATCTCCCTGGGATAGGCCAGTGGTTTCTGGAATCCACTCGCAAAATTCCTGATACCCCAATATGGATTATTCACCACTAGTGGGCACGTAAAGCCCATTTTAGGTGGTTTCAATGGTGTAAACACAATACTCTCGATGTGTTATTAAAAAAAAAAGAAAGTCACGTTACTTAACAGACATACCTCATATACTACAACTTAGAGAAGTCAGGCAGGTCATTACTATGTTTTGTCCAGTAACGACCAACCAGTGACCCATGTTTGTTGTACAGTAATTATGCCAAACAACCATGAAAAAAAAATCTTTTTCTTCAAGATTCGCAATGAAAGAGCAGTCTTGGCTAAAATTCTTACAATGTTAAAAAGTATGTATGCTGTCCTTATTCCAATAAGTTTGTTTAGCTTAGTGTTATCTTGTCCCTTTCAGCTGACCAGAATTTTATCCAGCAAACCTCCATGATCTATGCATTTTTTCTTTTGTAAAAAAATAAATTTATTTTTACATGCATTTATAATCTATTCTTCCCTCTGCCCCTTCCATTGAATAAAAAATTAAAATAAAAACACCCCCATCATAAGCATGCATAGTCCAGCAAAACAAATGCCCACAGTGGCTATGCCCAATGCATTTAAAGTTCATCACCTCTCTCACAAGAGGTGAGCGGCAGTTCCATCTTCGATCTTCTGGACTCTTGGTTTATCAATGAATTGCTCAGTCCTTAAGTCTTTCAAAGCTGTTTTTCTCAATAATGTTGTCACATAAATGGTTCTACTTTTGCTCACTTCACTCTACATCAGTTCAAAGGTCTTCCCAGTTTTCTCGGAAATTGTCCATTTTGGCCTTTCTTCTGGCCCAATAATTCTATTACATCAACACACCTCCACTTGTATAACCATTGCCCAACAGAACACCTCCACAGATTTCGACTTGGGGCTACCACAAAAAGAACGGCTCCGTTTTTGCACATACAGGTCCTTCTCCTCTGTCTCTGACCTCATTAAGGTATTGGCCTACTAGGTGTAACTGTTCCAGAGGGCATAGATGCAGCTTGGTAACCTGCCAGCAGAGCTGGCCCATTCCTAAGCTCTCAGCAGTGCATTGATATGCCTGTTTTTGACAGCCCTTTCAACATCTGTCATACTGCTCATCATCTTGGCCAGTTTGAAGGGTGTGAGGTAGGACCTCAGCCGCTTTAGTTTGCATTTTTCCATTAGTAATTTAAGAGGATTTTTTTCCATGTTGTTATTCCTTATATTTGACCGTTTAGCTATTCAGGAATGGATCTTAAAGTAAGCACCACATAACATGTTAACAAAGAATTTAACATATTTTATCTTATCTGATCCTCACAACAACCCTGCGAGGTAGGTGCTATTACTTTCCCCATTTTACAGATAAGGAAACTGAAGCAGTGCTACAATAACTTGCCCAGCTAGTAAAGGCTGGATTTGAATTCAGATCTTCCAGACTCCAGGTCCAATGCTCCGTGCACTGTAGCATCCCTAGCTTAGCTGCTTGACAACTTTGAATCAGTTCTATACATATATCTTGAGTAGGAGACCTTTAACCAGAAAAACCTGCTTGAGATTTTTTCCCCCATTTACCTGCTTCCCTTCTAATTTTAACATTTGATTTCTTTGTACAAAATTTTTTAAATTTTATAATTGTCTGTCTTATCTTCTGTGACCCCCTCAATCGTTTATGAATTCTTCCCCTATCTACACATTCAACATCTAATTTCTTCCTGGCTCCTCTAATTTATCATGTGATCTTTAAATGGAGGCCACGTATCCCACCAAAGCTTTTTGGGGCAGATGGTGCAAAGCACGGTACCACACAGGTATCAACTTAATTTGCCAGACTGTCACACAGGGAGCCTTCATGATGAACCACAGTCTCTGGATTGGTCAATATTATGCTACTGTTGTTTGCATCTGCGTACAGTGCACCCAATCTGTTTCGTTGGCCAACCTACCTTTCAGCCAGGACCAAATTATTTTCCTGATGACTGCTCTGCACTACAGTCTAAGATGTAGCATGGAGAGGCATCCTTCCTTTCCACTTCAATTACTGCCTTTGATAGTCCTGGCCTTTTGTTCCTCCATAAGACGTTTATTTTTTTCCCTAGCTCTATAAAATATTCCTCTGGTAGTTTAATTAGTACAGCATTAAATAAAGAAATTAATTCAGGCAGCAGTATTTTTATACTGGCTCAACCTACCCATGGGTAATTAACACTTCTCCAATTACTTAGGTTTGTCTATTTCTGTAAAAATGTTTTTATAGTTGGATTCATATAATTTCTAGATGTATATTAGTAGATTTACTACCAAACATTTTATAGCTTCTAGTTACTTACACTTACAATGAGCTCTTGCTGGATTTTACCAGTAATATACAGGAATATGTACAGGCATTCTGATTTGTTTCATGCAGACTTGTTTCATATCCTGCAACTTTGCTGAATTGTTTCAATTAATTTACAGTTGACTCTTTAGGGCTTTTCTTTTTCTTTGCGAGGCAACTGGAGTTAAATGACTTGCCCAGAGTCACACAGCTAATAAGTGTCAAGTGTCTGGTCTGAGACCACATTTGAACTCAGGTCCTCCTGACTCCAGGGCCGGTGCTCTATTCACTGCACCACCTAGCTGCCCCTAGGGTTTATAAAGTAAACAGTTCTATCGTCTGCAAAATCAGCATTTATAGATACTTGGAAGTTTTCAGCATTTGGACTTGATTTTGACAAGCACCAAACTACAGGATTAAAAAAGATATTGGGAGGCAATTTATTCCATCTATTTCCACTAAAACATGAAAAAAAACCATTAATTACATTTATTCAAAGATTATACTAGATCAGCCACAGACTTTTTAAAAAACCCACACCAAGAGAGCAAACTTCTTTCATGGAAATCCTAATTCTGAAGCCACACTGCAGCAATTGATGCCTGTGGGCTCCAAGGCTATGATAGTGGACCACGTTAGACAGGTCCTATAAAATGGGCCCAAAGTACATACTGTCTGGCTGCCATAAAGCTACTAGCTAAATCTGGAGAGCCTATCTTACAAGATGCCAACAAGGTGTTGGGCTACCATCAATTTACTAAAACAGAGTTGTGCTCTGTCATGGCAGTGGGACATGCCCATCACTGAAGATCCCTGAAATCTGTAATGATGGCCGACTATCTCCTTCAACTATTTAAGTAGAGGACAACGGGAATTAAATACAATGCAGTCAAGGATAATTAAGAAGGGATATTAGCTCCAACAGTCCAGACCATGAGCAGCTAGACCCAATATGGGTAGCTGGTACACATGAATCATCACATCATGCCAAAGGAACCCCTGATGTGGGATTCAAGTCATCCTTCTTTCTTCTCTTCTCTACCGGCCCAAACCTCCTATTTTTGGTCCTTATTCCACGTATTAACACTGAATAAAGAACTGTATGGGGAGGCAGAATGGGGTAAAAATATTGGTCAAGGAGTAAGCAATAAGACCTGGTTTTCCAGATGCTGACTGGCCAGCTCTGAGACCTTCCACAAATTGCTTGGCCTTCTTTAAGACTATTTCCTCAACTATAAAATGGAGATAATATTCTAGACACCATTTCCCTCAAAGGGTTGTAGTAAGGAGAATGTTTCACAAACTTTAAAGTGCCATAGAAATAAAAGCATTATAGTAAGTCAATGAGCTGCAATGTCATCAGTGAAAAGAGGAGGCACAGATCAGTAGTTCGGGAAGGCTAGTGCAGGCCCACCCTCCTCCAGGGTCATGCAGTCCCCAGGTCAGGGCTCAGACTTGACCCAAGTCTCCCAGTTCCTTGCAGAGTTTGTCTCCCTGGCTGTGCCTGGGGATGCTGTTTACACTTCAGATCACATGCAATTTTGAGAAGAATTTTCAGAAAATATTTTAATACAAAAACGTTTGTAAACTATTAACAATATTTGGGCTGAAGAATTGTTCACATCATTCCACTGGATGCTGCTGGCACAGCTAGAGAAACCGCATCAAGTTTTTCGCATCCCCCTCCCTCATTAAAACCAAAAGCTCCATGCTAATTCTTCAGTGGAAAGTTCATTGGCGATTAAAGGTATTCTCTTCTTTGCAGGAGTTTCCTGACTCTGAGTTTTCCTGATCCCCAAATAGAAAAATTGTACTCGGAAGTAACGTAAGGGATCTCTCCCTCAATCTTGGGCTGAAACACAAAGATATAAAGAGGAAAGATGAAAAGAAAACGCACACACACAGGATGCAGCGGGTCTTTACAGTGTGTTGCCACCTCCCTGCAGGGCAGCATTTGTAAGAGATGGAGAAGTCCCATGCAGCCATCTTACCAAATATCTGGCTCCCCGACCAAGAGGAGGGACACCTAGCTGGTGAGGGCTCAGTGGCAAGCCTGCCAAGTTCTTTCTGCAGCAGCCACAATGGCCCTCCCCAGCAGAGGCCCCTCCTGGTATGACAGAGGCCAGCCACTCCACTTTTTTTTGGAGGGGGCGGCATTCACATCAACCCCAACAGCAAATTCATTTGTAAGCCTTCAAGAGTTGCCTGAAGCAAATGATCATCACACAGCCTGTGGTAGTCAGAGGCGGAACCTGAATCCAGCTCTTTCTGACCCTGACAATGCTAGCCCTCCAGGTCACTGACATTCTGCAGGAGTGGCTCAAACGCCCACCGAATGACCCAATGACCCGATATGGTAGCTGTCACATTCTTAGAACGTTGGCCGGTTCTAATTCTCCAATTCTCTGCCACTGCTGTCAGAGCATGGGCTTCTCCACTCACCTCAATTTCTCTCCTTAGTCCTTCCCTTAGAGAAGCCCACTCTCATCTACCTGCCTGTTTTTATTCCCTTAACATTAACTTCAAGCTATAACACAAAGTTTTGAGATCAACATCCCAAATTAGACAGAATATTGTTTCTAATTTGTGTGAATGGAATCCACACCTCCCCTGCATCTCTTCACATTATCTGTAGCATGCCTCCCACTTTAACCTGGTCTAACTCTGGGAAAAATTGAGAGGTAGGTAAGTAAATGCTGTAGACTAGCAAATTCCTTCACAGACTGTACCTGGCTCTTGAAGATGCAATGAGGAATAGTAATATTTCCAATCATCAGACAATTCACATGTCTTAACTTTTCATGGGACAGAGGAGTCAGAACGTAGTACACTTTTTTCACCATGCTGATCCCTCGGATAATACCTTTAATATACAAAATAACAAGAATAAGAAGAATAACTCCATTCACAGAATGGTCTCAAAACCAACTGTTTAAAAAGACAGCATACTCGTTTAAAAAATGACAATGACTTTTTAAACCCAATTTAAATAGGGTACAGAATCTCTTAACTGATGAACTACAGATAACATTTTAAACACTATTCCTATCCATCCCTTTTAGTTAATTACATGAAAGCAAAATGGATTAAAACAAGGGCACTAGGCTGGTTCTCTCTTAAAAGGAACACTTGACAAACAAGACTATCGATAACTAAGGGAAACCCAGCTAGAGCAGAGGACACAAGTCCTCGTCTTTGGTGGCTGACTGCCTTGAGAACCAGGGCCTTGCTCTAAGTGGAGCCCACTGCATGCTGCCCTTGTCAGCCTCATCCCGGGTTCAGTCCTGGGCACCGTGGTTTAAGGACGACACTGACAGGCTGGAGACTGTCTAGAGGGCAACCAGGATGGTGAGGTCACAGAAGACCTGCACATACATACGCATGGTAATATTACTTTTGAAGGACAGAGGATCCAAGAAGGGTTAGAAGCTTTGTGTGGAGTGGACAACCCAGAAAAGGTCTTCATGCTGGGAGTGACAAGCCTGACTAGTGGGGAGCTAGTGCCAAGAAAAAAGAGGCCCCTCGCCACTCTCGGTCCAGGTGAAAGAACTGATGAACGAAGCCCTTTCCCAAGAGAGAGGCACCACAAGACAAGACCAAAGATGGGCAAAGGGGTGCCAATGAGAGGCAGTGACCCTGACCCCAGGGTCTGAGGACATTGTGGAGCAGACCATTAAAGGGATATGACAGCTGCTGAGCACCGTCCAGAATGAGTCGTGTCAAAAGAACCTGGCCTCAAGATCACCCGAGGGGCCAAGGGGAACGCTACAGACGCAGCTCACCTAGAGTTTAGCAAAGATTTTGCCCAAGTGTCTCAGACTCCTTGTGCATTAGCCAGAACGACAGACACGGATAAGCAGAGAGGATACAAGGAGTTAGAGGATTCAGAACTGGTGGCTGATCAGACTCAGAGCAAAGTTGGGAACAAATGATTCGCTATCAATGGGCAGGAGGTCTTCAGTGGAGGACCCCAGGGATCTACGCTTGGCCCTGTGCTGCTTCACATTGATCAATTACCTGCATAAAGGCAGAGAGGACACATGCATCCAATGTGCCACCAAGCTGAGAGGGTTAGCTACTACAGTGGATGACAGCCAGGATCCAAAGGGGCCTAGGCAGTCTAGAATATTGGGCTCAATGAAGCAAGATGAAATTCAATAGACATAAATGTAGAGTCTTGCTCTTGGGTACCAAAAAGACCAATTTCACAAATATAACACAGCAGAGACAAGGACAGGAGCTGTTCTAAAAGGATCTGGGGGTTTCAGTGGACTGCAAGCTCCAACTGACTCAGCAGTGTGATCAATATGGTAGCCAAAGAAGCTAAGAGGCTCTTGGGATCATCAGGAGGAGCCTGCTTCCAGGAATGTCCTCTGTCCTTATCTGACCTCATCTGGAATACTGAGTTCAGTTCTGGGCATCCCAGTTTAAAGGCACTGACAAGGCTGGAGAGCATCTAAACAGGATGAGAAAAGACCCGGACTCCACATCACAAGCACCTGCTGAAATAACCAGCACGTTCATCCCAGTGACAGATGACTCGAGGGGAACAGCACAGGGTCTTCAAGCGTCTGAAGGCCTGTCATGGGTAGGCAGGGCTGGATCTGTTCTGTTTGGCCCCAGGGTGCATAACCAGGAGCAAGAGGCAGAGACCGCAAAGAGGCAAACTCGAGTCTGGTGTCAGCGAAGATCTCCTCCCAAAAAGAAAGTCAGGAGATGGGGCAGCTCGCCTCGAATGGCTCAAGGCAGACACAGAATGTTATATGAGGTGGGATTCTTCCACTTGCAAACTGGCCTAGGTGAGGTCCAACAAATCTCTAATTTCATGAGGCTGTGAGTTTTCTATTGATGAGTCTGTCTCTATTTTAAAATGACTTATTCCTAATTACTTCACTCTAATACACCCGGTAACACAATCAGAAAAAGGTCCATTTTTTTCTCTATCAGTGAAGTGGTATGAACAAGTCCTGTTAAAGAAGCAGACATACTTTATGATGTCTTTTTCTTTCTAGGCTTAAAGTGAGAGTCATCTGGCAACCCACAAAGATGTACAACTTCCCCCTAAACATGACCCAGGAGATTAGCAGACTTTTATCATTTCACACTCAAAAAAGACGTTATTTGTTAAAACCAAGGCCATTTCAGTAATGAGCCAGAAAGATATCACCGTGAACTTACCAAACCCCACACAATCACAGACTGGATTGTCTGTAAGAAAAACTGGTCCATCACTTTTTTGTTTGACATCATCTAGTATCCTACAAAGACCAATCCAGTTGGCATTTACTGTATACATGGTATGAGTAGGAGCGACATCAGTGTGGATAACCCGGAGAGCAACAGAACTGAAAGGGACCTGGAAAATAAAGCCATTCTGTTAGCTCCACCCTGAAGTGGCAATTTCATTTTTTTAATTACCCTATTGGCTACTTAAACATGTTCTCAACACCCTCACTATAATTAATTGCAAACTGCTGCACACACCAGCCACCATTCTGTTGCGTTTAGTTGTTTAGTCTGAGGAACATAAAGAGTTAACACAGTTAGTGAACACCAGCAATCCTTGCTAACCTCACTACAGCAGGAAGCACAGGCCTTTCTGACCTGGCAGGAAACAAAACGGTGGTTTGAGGGCACTCTCAATTAGTGAAAGCACTGGGATGCTGTGAAAACACCTACTATTGCTAAATCTCCTAAATAACACACAACACAGAAACCATTTTTCTTTCCAAAAGCTCCCACTCATTTCTACAGTACTGTGATGGGAGAAGAACAGATCTAAGATGAACACATTCCCACCTTATGACTCTCAAGGTTCCCCAAGGTACCAGATGAAAATGAATCTCTTTTTAAAATGCTAAGTAGCTTTAAGGACATTCTGGACTCTTAAATCAAAAACGACTGGAACAGCTACTCACATTTCAGTTTCCAAAGGAGAAAAACCCTCTCCCTAATCCTAAAAGGCTACAGACTCAATGGCATGAGCAGATCAATCTTGGCTTTAGCATCACACGTCATTCTCCAACCAAACCATCTCTTAGAAACCAAAGTTTTAAGAAAAATAAATAGGAAACTACCTTCCAGATTTCCCTAAATCTCCTCAAAGAGCTGAACCTACGGAAACAAATCTGGAGCCAGCAAGGTCCTAGTAAAGCTATATCATGAAGACCAGTGGCCGAATCCAGATCCTAGAGAGCACCTCCCTCCAACAGGGGGAGCCTATGACTCCAAAAGAAAGCACTACACTAAGCGCGGAATTTCTTCAGACAATTATCAACTGGCTCAATTCCACACACAAACATTTTCCTGCTCGGTACCTAGTTTGGATAAACAGATCCATGCCCATTTCTCCCAGAGGTGTTTAAATTACCTGAAAGGGGACTAGATGGTGTAGTGGAAGAAAGGGTTTTGCCTCTGGTGGCTGTAGCAAAGCAAGGTAACCTAACAAGGCCATATCACGAAGAACAGGACTATGCCATTGCCTAAAAAATAAATCAGAATCGGTTAAGCAAAGACTGTGCAATTTTACCACAGGAAACTTTCACTTAGAATCAAGTATATAGTACATTTCTCTGAGGCTTATCATTTTTAAGATTTCTACCAGTCCCATCACAGAAGAGGCAGAAATTTTAAAAAACAAACAAAAAACCCTTTCCTACAAGTCCAAAGGTTCCAACCCAACAAAGGGAGCAAATGTTTTTGAATTTTTCGTTTAGATAATTATGGCTTTGAAAAAAGCTAATTCTTACATGAACCAAACTAATGCACCTAAGAAGCAGTTTTCTTACATCATATACCAAGATATGCTCCAAATGGCTACGTGATGGACGTAAAGGGTGATATCATAAATTAGAAAAGGAAGGAATGAATCACCTTTCAGCTCTATGAATAGGGATTAGAGGTCACATGCAAACAAAGAATACAGAGGATAGCAAAAAATAAAAGGAACAATATTGATTATTTAAAATTTAGAATTTTGCAGAAACAAAACAAATATAGCTAAAATTAGAAGGGAAACTGGTAACGGAGGAAAAAATCTTTGCATCAAGTTTCTCTTATAAAGATTTTATTTTCAAGATATACAGGAAATTCATTCAAATTTACAAAAAGAAAAACTATTATCCAATTGATAAAGGATATGAACAAGTATTTCTCAAGAGAAGAAATCTTAAGCTATCTAGTGCAATACGGAAAAAATGCTACAAAAGACTAATAATTAGAGAAATGCAAATTAAAGCTCTGAGAGCTTTCACCTCACACCCATTAGGCTGGCAAAGTTGGGGAAAAAAACCCAACAAATGTTGGAGGGGTTATGGGAAATCTAGTACATTAAAGCACTGATGCTGGAGCTGTGAAATGGTCCAGTTCACAGGAATAGTTTTATACCTCAAAGAGATCAAAGAAAAAGGAAAAGAACCCATACTGTACTATAAACATTTACAACAGCTCTTTTTGTTGGCGGCAAAGAACTGCAAGCAGGAGATGCTCATTAACTGGGGAACGACTGAACCCTAAATGGCATGTGAGCATGCTGGAACGGTACTGTGCTCTAAGAAATGATGAGAGAAAGGCTGCAGAGAAACCTGTTAAGACTGGTATGAACTGATCCAGAGTGAAGGGAGCAAAATAAGAACCACCTACAAAATACCAACACTGCAGAGACAAACAACTTCGAAACGCTTGAGAATTCTGAGAGAGAGGAGACAGGCACCAACCAAGGACTGAAACAGTGTCCCTGAGAGAGAGGAGACAGGCCAGACTGCAGACTGAGACAGTCATTTTTTTGATTTTGGCTGATGCAAGTATTGGTTTTACTTGACTATATATTTGTTACAAGGGTGTTTTGTTTGTTTGCTTTCCAAATGAGGTAGTGGGAAGTAGGAGGAGAAAATAGATTTTTAATTAAAAGAAAAAAATTAAGTTTCAAAAAAGAAACGAATCAGTCAACTGGGAAAAAAATCCTCCTTTCTACCAAATCGAAACATTTATTAAGTGCCTATCAAGTACCAGGCACTGTGCTAAGTGCTTCATAAAGAGTATTTCATTGGATCCTCACAACAACCCTGCAGGGTAGATTTTGCTATTATCTCCATTTTACAGCTCAGGAAACTGAGGCAGAGGTGAACGGACTTGCCTAGGGTCACATAGCTATTAAGTGTCTAAAGCTGGATTTTAACTCAGATCTTCCTCACTTCCAGGCCTGGCCCTCTAACCATCTTATCACCAACTGCCTCAAAAGAACCGCAAACTAAAAACCACATGAAAGAATATTTCAAGTCACTCACAAGAAAAATGTAAAAGCAAAATATCTCTGAGCTTTTACCTCACCCCCTTCCCTCTGTGATTATCTCCAATTTGTCCTACACTTATCATTTGAACCTATTTGAATGTTTTTTCCCCCTCCAATTGAATTGTGAGCTCCCTGAGGACGGGAACTGTCCTTTGCCTTCCTTTGTATTCCTAGCGTTAGCACATTAAGACCTGGCACTCGGTAGGCATTTAATAAATGCTTGTTGACGGGGCCCAGAAAATGAGCAGATGATGGAAGATAAGAATCGATATTAGAAGAGTTGTGGAAAGATGGGCACACAAATGGACCATTGGTGGAGCTATGCACTGATCTAATCACTTCCAAAGCAATATGACAGAATGCCCATGCCCTTTGGTTCCACTGTCTGCCAAGCACCCAAAGGAGGTCAACAATAAAATGGCCCCACAAATACCAAAATACTTATAGCAGCACTTTTTGTGGTAGCAAAGAGCTAGAAACAAAGTAGATGCCCAATGATTAGAATTAAATGAATTGTGGTACGTGAATATAATAGAATTTTACTGTGCACAGTGTATATAAAGAATACAAGTACAGGAAGATTTATATAAACTTAAACAAAGCAAAGTAAACAGAATGAGAAAAAAACATATATAACGACTTCAACAACGTAAAGAACAACAAAACTGAATTTTGTGAAATGAAAATGATCAAGCTTAGTCCCAAAGAAAAGATCAAAGGTATAACCTCTCCTTTAGCAAGGGGTAGCCTATGAGTGGGGAACACTGCCTACCAGGTTAGACTTGGGAGAGGTGCTGGGTTAGTTTTGCTAAATTGTTTTTTCCTTTTTTCTCCTTATAAGGGATGGTTCTCTGGGAGGTACTTCAGGAGGGATTTATTGGGAAACCAAGGTAATATAAAATCAAGATAACAAAAATCTACTTTAAAAAAAGAGCTGATTAGGGGCAGCTAGGTGGTGCAATGGATAGAGCACCAGCCTTGAAGTCAGGAGGACCTGAGTTCAAATCCAGCCTCAGACCAAACACTTGACACTTACTAGCTGTGTGACCCTGGGCAAGTCACTTAACCCCAACTGCCTTAAAAAAAAAAACCACACACACACAAAAAAGAGCTGATTATTCTACTACTTAAATATGTAAAACTGTGATGTAGGCACTTAGGAACTGTGGAGAGACAGACACCATTTTAACAAGTAAATCTCCAACACTGCAGAAAAGACCTAATTCTCAGGCTTAAGATGCCACATGTTTCTTACGTCAGTTGAGCAACGCCAGCACCAGCAAACTCAGACTGCACAAGCAGCAGTCTGTGTCCTGTTGAGGGAGGCTGGCTCCCTTCATCCGGATCCCCTGAACTCTCCGATTCGGTGCAGTCCAAGTGCCTGCTTCTGACTTTGGTGTTGCCTTTTGTCTGCAGACCCGCCATCCCCGCAGTGCACTCTGGGGTGAGCAGGGGCATATCTTGACACTGTTCAGAACTGAACTGAACAATATGAGTAGGGGCCTGCATTCGAATAAGGTCAATGAGGAGCAAAAGTCCATCACCTGGAAGAAAGGGGACCAAACAACTCCATTAAGTCAGGGCAACAGCTACTTATTCCACAGCTCTGATTCAGACGTGGAACAGTAGGCTCAGACAAGAGCAGCCATAACCCAAGGAACATGACACATGGTCAGACCTACCTTTCACCCAGCCCATCGTATTAATGATGAGAGGCGCTTCTCTCTGATAGGCACTGAAGACGTACTTCACAATCTCGGTGTATTTCTTACAGTCATCTTCACAAGAAGAATCACCATAAAAGACCATTTTTCGAGTTTTCCTTTGATGAGTGAATGGTGGCCCTAAGAAGATGAAAACGAGGATTACAAAACCCTTGCTCTCCACTACGGACATGCTTCGTCTTAATTGTCAAAAGAAATACTTATAACTACCTTTCCTGAAGTACAAGACATCAGTTTTTTGCAGCAAGAGCCTCACATTCACCTCATGATAATTCCATATTTACCTTAACATTGTGCTCAAAGGATGTCAGACAACCGGACACCTTATCTCTCATAACAGGTACAGACTATGCACAGAAGGGTTGGGTTACTTTTTTTCAAAGATTTTAAACATCGAATATAATCCAAGTTGTAAAATTCATATAAATGAATCATAATGACTGAAATTCATTCCATTAGTCAGAAAACTACCCACTGGTACTGAAGGTGGTTTCTTTTTTTTATAACAGAGAGAGGTGGCAGGCAAGGAAAATTCAACTCTTGAGCTACAGCAGTAAAAGGAACATCTGTCTTTGGCCTCTCATTTCTCTCTAAATTGGAAGTTCAGAAACTTATTTGGCCTACCACTCCCCCCTTTAAAAAAAATTACTCAGTACTCCCCTGGAAATCTACTTTCTTTAACCCTTTAATGTTTTTTTTTAAAATTTGCATCATTGCCAAAAAAAATTTTTTAAATGATGCATCTTAAATTTAATAATTTATTGTAAATTTGTAGGTTTTTTCCTGCATTGAAATTCTGATAATACAATATTGTATCATGTAACCATATAGTACGATATTGTAAACAAGTCATTACACGCACATATTCCAATGCATTCTGGGATTTCCCAACAATGTGCAAGATGCCAACACTTGCTTGTTAAGACTTGTCATCAGACTTGACCACTGATGGATTATAACTCGCATTTGGTGCGTTTATTCGGAAAATAATATAATCGCTACAACTTCAACCGTTACACAACAGGTGAAACATTATAAACGGTTTTTCAAAATTTTCTTCTCTTCTTTTCTTATGCTTCCACCGCCCCCTTATTTTTATTCAACACCCCCCAATTTGCATCTGAGGCTACTACCTCCCCCCCCCAGCCCTGATCATTCCAACCCCACCCCAGGGGGCAGTATCGCCCACTTTGGGAACCTACTCCCTAAATTTCTGCTTGGTCATCTGTTTTTATTTCATAGGTTGGCTGCTCTCTCTGACACAGATCACAGCCCCTCCAAGCCTCAATTTGCTGTGGCCCCCACAATAATGTGGAGTCTGTAAGCTTCACTGGGTTTTTCTTCAGATGAGAGACACACCATACTACAGAAGGATTGTCTAGGAAGACTTTCTAGCTTGGGACAGTCTGCCAGAGGTGAGGTTCTGCTAACAAAGCACAAGGTTCACTTTCAGGCCAGGATGAGACATTTAGCAGAATTAAAAGGGCCTACTTTCTCAAATTAAGACTACATCAGAGGGACAGAGAACCTTATCCAATGAATCTTAATAGTTAACTAAAGAACAGGAAATTGGACAGCCCAATAGATATAGAGCTGGGAGAGCACCTGAAGGTCATTCAGTCCAACCTCAACACTTTAGAGATGGAGAGAGCACAGTCCAGACAAGTGCAGTGATCTCCTCAGATCAGCCCCAGATCACAGAGGTAGGAAGAAGCAGGGCTTGGACACGAAGGGACATTCTTTGATCTCAAATTCAGTCTCCCTTCCACCATGCCACATGATCACAAAAGGCCTCTAGTCAATACATACCTGGGCACAGAAATGCCAACCAGCCTTCCTCTATCTGAAGCACCTATGACTGACACAGCCCCTTACACTTCTGCATAGCTCTAAATGCTATCCAGTTTTTCTATACATCAAACTATAATCTAGTCTGTGACAGGCTCTGATTCCCCGGTACTCCCACATCTGAGCTGGAAACGCAACAAGGAAGGCTAACCCTCTGAGGATGCTATCCCATCCCCCCTAAGCATTTCTTCTCTAGAATGACCCCAGTCCCTTCAATTTTGCTTGGAAATTCTGGTTCCTCTTTCCTCATCAGCCTCTAGCTTTGTCAATGTCCTTGCTAAAAGGCAGACAGATATACTAAAAATAGTGAACATATTAATGTCCTTGTACTGAAAATTAGATTATGCTGGGTAAGCATCTAATGACACTAATAAAAGGTAAGTCGGCTATCTATCCCAAGAAATAATGCGGTCTCTTGCCAGACGTTGGATGACCACTTTTCCAGGATGCCAAAAGTACAGGCTGGTCTAGATGGTTTCTAAGATCCTTTCTGATACTGCTCTGCCTGCTAAGAAGTGTGTCTGTGAGCATGCAGTGGGGATGAATCTTCTGTGTGACTACATTCGTTATCAATGGCCCAGTGTGCCTGTCGAGGACAGGTGAAAAGCATAGGAGCACTTGAATGTTGGTTAAACCCCCTAGGGGCATGGCCTTAAATTCCACTTCTCCACTCCTATCATACAGGCCCAAGGAGAGCAGGAGCCTGTCAAAATAAATTCTCATTCACTGTTTCCACTTCCATCTGTTAAGCAACTCTCAGACAAACAGACCTGTGATAAGAGCTTTAGGTAAACACCAAATGTTGAAGACAAAACACACATCCCTGAAACAACCAAGACAGTAACAAAGCAACACGTAAACATGCAAAAACAATGGAACATAAAATGTCTATCTAAACACTGAGTGAAAATGGAATAAAGGAGGGATAAGACAGTGGGGAGCCAGGCTTCATCAAAGACAGCTTTCTGGAGGCGAAGTTCAAGCTAGGCCTTGAAGAACACTGTAGATACAGACTAGTCTTGGACAAGCTGGATACGCATCAGGGCAGAGAAGTGATCAGAACTAGGGCAAGGAGGTACCCAGCATGGAGGCATTAGAATGATTTGATGGAGGTGGTAGTAGGGAGGCCAGGCTGGCTAGCTGGCAAGAAAGACTTTAAACGATTACTGTCATACATACCAAAAATAGGCTCTGTAACATTAGACAAAGAAACACAACCAGGAGGAGTGAATTCTGTCTGTCCTAGGTCACAATCCAAAAAGTCAACACAAGGAATACTGGGGGAAAAAAAGAAAAGAAAATCATTTCCATGTTAAAAGGACTAATTCAATTCTTTGTAATTCTACATAATGTCTGAATAGCATATTAACTCCTCAGTGTCAGGTACCAAAGACAGATCGTGACTCCTGAGAGCAGGAGGTTGCAATGCTTATAAAGAGGAAGAGTAAACACATGTACCAAATGCAATAAGCTCTAGTTCTCCCCCACTTGCCCTCCCTTCCCCCTCCCCATCCCCCAATCACATACAGAGAACGCTATGGCACTAGAACAGTAAAAATAATGAAATCCAAGAATTGTCAGTCTCCCTCACAACCTTCCTGCAGCTTTGACTGTCCCTAAGACTATTCCTGCTGTTTTCATTCATTAACAAGCATTTGTGCAAAACCTCTCAAACCAGCCATAACAGGCGTACCAAACAGCTTAAATGCTGTCCTTGTCCCCAAGACTTAAAAGAAGGCTCCCAGTGCCAAGGGCAAACCCCCTACAGAAGACGTATGGTTGTACAAGGACATAAACAACAAGGAAGAAGGGTGAATGGAATCCACGCTCCCCCGGTGCAGCCAGTCCCCAAAGGCAAGGACCCCAGATGCACCAAAATGAGATCAAAGCACAGGTGGACAAGAAACAAAATACCAACATCTCTCTCTCAGGACCAACAGCGGTGGAGAATTATCCTCAATCTACAGATGAGGTATCAAAGAATCACAGACTGAGTGCTGGAGAGGAACCTTAGAAGCCCTCCAGGATAACCCTTCATGGAGGCCCAGGGGACACCATGAAGTCTGCCCAAGGTCACTAGGTAAGTGGCAGAGCTGGGACTTAAACCCAGTGCTCTTTTCACTGCACCACACCTACTCTATCACTTAACCTGAAAGTCCTCATTAAAATAATTAATTTTAACAATTAACAGATTCTAGCAGTCCTCATACTCAAATTTAAACTGTTTATCCTTTCAAAGAAAAGCATTTTAAATCATCAGTAGAATCCCGTGAGGCAGGACCTGGGGTCAGCTGTCCAGGCCCTTTGCTGCACTCACCTGTTCAGCAGCTGGTTAATTAGGTATCGATTAAAGGTGGACTTGCCGATGCACTTTGGTCCACAAACCATGATGATAGGGCAACCATCAATTTCCTCTGGAAGGGAAACAAAACACACGAAACTCCTCAATGTGACAAGCTTTTTCATAGGAATCTTCTGAAGCTTTTGGGGGCCTACAATTAATCTTGTTAATTTATGAAAAGAATCAAAGTAGTCAATTTCAGCTCCTTACCACAACAGGCAGTGATTAACTCTTCTATCACTGAACTGCTACTCTCAGACAAGTGAAAGCCACTTTCTTCCTCACATTTCTTAATGCCAACAGAAGACATGGTTAACTGCTCAAGATTGAAGGATGATGACATCTCCTGTTTCTAAAGATGAACAATTTCAACTTTTAAAAACATTCTGAAATGCAAAATGAAAAGTATCAGAGACAAGTATGACTTTTATTTACATTCTCAACCTTTCTCGGTTTTTTTTTCCTTGTCATCATTTTCATGTCTCCTTTATCTTGCTGCTTCTATTCAACATATAGGCTGAGTGCATACTGACACTGTATGAAATTCGTTTTGTAAGAATCCTTATCTCTATAAATTAAAGTAACACACCTATATCTATCACAAGCCATGAAAATAGAGAACTCAGATTAAACACCTGCTAGGCCTGAACCCTAATAAGAGGCACAATGTTATCACAAGGGTCATTTGTTCATGAATGAATTATATCCTCCACTGGCTTGAAATTTCTGCTCTTAAGAATTACCCTCAAGAGGGGAGGATGGAAATGTGAATTTTAAATGGATTACAGAAAATTCTCCTGAAGGGGCAACATACTAGAATTTCGACCTTAGCTGATCGCCCAGTCACAGAATGACCTGAAGGGATGACCGTGACACAGTCTCAGCACTCCATCAGCTCCAATGAAATGTGACAAGGCTAGCCTGGTGGCTTCTAGTCCCCACATCACTCACCATCCTTTCCCACCTTCCTTCCTTGGCCCTAGCTGCTCCCTCCTAGGACTAAAACACATTCCCCCTCCTCACTTCTTCTCTTCCTTCAAGTCACAGCCCAACCACCACCACCATCTACATGGTCCCGTCCACCACTAATTATTTTGTATTTATTTTCTTTCAATGTATTCTGTACATCATAATCTAGGTCACCGTCTCCCATTACTGTAAACTCCTTGGCTACAGACTGCTTCACTGGTTGTACTTGGACGTGCAGCACCTAGGACAGCACCCAGAGCCAGCACAGGCCACTTCCACGAATGCCAGCAGAGACCCTCTACGGAAGACTTGGGAAGATGCAGACCAGAAGGGGAAGGGTGGCCGTGGCAAGATCTTCACACTCTAGGGAAGCATTAAAATACTGAGGCTTAGCTGACACAGACCCTGAGCACAGCAGAGTTCTGAGGGAGCAGGGAAGGGAAAAGCAAGTACAGTAAGAAGATGCCCTGGGCAGCCAAAGTGGACGCTGAAGACAGGTAGGTCAGCAGAGTGAGAGCACTGGGAGGAACAGCAGGTATGAAGGGCCAGGCTTGGCCTGGCTTATCCCTTCAGCTCAGTGGGCCTCGAGGACAGCAACTGTAATCACTCCCCAACGTTAACACACCGATGTTTCTTTTACTCAAAACTAAATTTAACTGGAGACAAACTGCTCTAGTGTACTAAGGAGGAAGAATCTGAAAAGCTACACTATCAGTGGAAAACTTGGGAAGACAGCAAAGAGGAATAAAGAATAAAAGGAGATGCCACAAAATGAAAACAGAAGGGCAGGCAGGAAAGGGAGGGCCTGGACTTCCGTGACTTCACTGATCCAGGGAATTCCTGGATGAGAAGACTCCCTCCCTACCGAGGCAGATGGGTGAGGAGGTGACTGGCCCAGGGCCACGAAGGCAGGGTGTCAGCATCGAGAAGTAAACTAAGGGAGCTCCCTGGCTCCAGGCTAGCTCTCTTTACAGAGGAAAGGACCAAGGAAAAGAAATGACCAAACCAGTCTCAGAAACTACTTGCCACTGTGCTAAGCGCTGAAGACACAAGGGAGAGCAAAAACAGTCTCTGACCTCAAAACTCATATTCTAACAGGGGAAACAACACATAAAAAACATCTGCCATGCAAGACATACAGAGTACAAATGGAAGACTGTAACTTCAGAGGGAAAGGCATTCCACAGAAGGTGGGAAGCCAGGCCATGGAGGCGAGGAGGGAAAGCGTGCAAGGCACGGAAGAGGGATATGGCAGAGCCAGGGCACGGAGGCAAGAAGGCCAATGCTGTCAGACAGTGGAGGTCACTCCACTCCTCTCCAGGCTCTGCTCCTGACTCTCTGAGCTTCTTTCTCCAGGAGCCTTTGGAGAGAACGGTGGATCTGGTGTCAGGAGTTCAAATCCAGCCTCACAGACTCTGGGCAAGTCATCTCATGCCTGTCTGACTCAGTTTCCTCAACTGTAAAATGAGGATAATAACAGCACCTACCTCCCAGGGTGGCTGTGAGAATCAAATAGACCGTATCTGTAAAGGGCCTAGCACTGAAAACACACTTGCCTCTTTCCTCTCCTCCCTCCCTTCTTCCCTCTCCTCTGACTGTTCAATCGTTCCTGGAGCTTCCCTTTTAGGGACGGGCCCGGGTTGGCCATCTCTCCTTCAGCTCCCTTTCACCTCCCCCCCCCCCCCCCCCCGCTAGAACGGAAGCCCCCTGAGGGCAGGGCCTGTCTCCTGCGGCTTCCGTCTGTATTCCTAGTGCTTAGTCCAACGCCTGGCACTCAGCAAGGGGCTAAGAAAGGCTTGCTGAATTGTGGCATATGAATGCAATGGAACACTATTGGGCTGTAAGAAACGATGAGCAGGCCGACTTCAGAAAAACCTGGAAAGACCTGTATGGTCTGAGGCCGAGGAAAGTGAGCAGAGCCAGGAGAACGCTGTACACAGTAACAGCCACGTTGTGCAATGACTAATATCGATAAAGTTAACCCTTCCCAGCACTACGAGGATCTAAGACATCTCCAAAGGCCTCATGATGGAAAAATTCTGCCCACGTGCAAAGAAAGAGCTACGGAGTCTGAATGCAGATCGAAGCACACTATTTGCTATTTTTTTCCCCTCTTCTGCTAAGTTGTGTTTCCCCTTTCTGGTGGTTCCTCCTATTGGTTCTAATTTTTACTTACAACATCACTAATCTAAAAATATGTTTAAGAAGAATGAACATATATCGCCTATATCAGATTGTGCGCCATCTTGGGGAGGGTGGTGGGGAGAAAAATTTTAAACTCAAAAGCATATGGAAGTGATTGTTGATAAATCAAAATAAATTAATTTAAAAAAAAAGAAAGAAAGGCTTGCTGACTTTGCTGTGGCCCAGGGAGTGAGTATAAGACTGCAAAGACAGGAAGGAGCCAGCTATCGAAGGGCTTAAAAGGCCAAAAAGAGGATTTTACATCTGATCATAAAGGTAATAAGCCTCTGCTTCTGAAAAATCACTTTGGCAGATGAGTGAAGGCTGGATTAGTGAGGAGAGAGACTGAGGCACCGAGGCTAACCAGCAGGTAGAGGTGATGAGGTCTGCACCAGGACGAAGGCTGTGCGAGTGGAGAAGAGACAGAGGTGAGAAAAGCTGTGAAGGTAAAACCAATGAGGGGAAGAAGGGAAGAACATGGGTGAGGGAGAGTCAGTAGTCAAGAATGACTCCAGAACTGTGAGCCTGAGTGACCGTGAGGATGCTGGTCCCATGGACAGTAATAGGGAAATTCAGAAGAAGGGAGGGTTTGGGGGCTAAGAATGAGTTCTATACTGAGTCTGAAACGTCTGTGGGGCATCTAGCTCCACACGTCCCGGCGGCCACAGGTGACGTAGGACTGGAGCTCAGACAGACTAAGATATCATTACGTAGATCTGGGAGCCACCAGCCCAGAAATGCCAACCGAGCCCATGGGAGCTGCTGAGACTGCAGAGCAAGATGTTCTGGAGCAGGAGCTCCTAACTGGAGCCTGTGAATGTTTCACTGATATCTCGACAGCTATGCTTCAATATCAGCGGATTCCTCGAGAAGCCTCTGCATTTTATTTCACGTATTTAAAAACAGTATCATGAGAAGGGACCCAAAGTTTTCACCAGAGTGACTGCCACAGGCGGCTGCGACAAAAACGGCAAAGAACCTCGGGGAGGAAAGAACAGAAGAAGGCTCAGGACCAAGCCCTGGGGGACCCCCAAGCTTAGCGGGATGATGGGATGACCTGTAAGAAGAGCCGACAAAGGAGACTGAGGGAAAAGTCAGGTAGAGTTACCACGCCAAGGGCCCTCAAACAGCACGTTCAATCGATGTCTTGTCCCTCTAACCCACTGGTCGCTGACATCAGTCGGGCATTCCTTCACACTAGTGTCTGGTCTCTCCCTAACACGACCATGAGTGAGCGTCCCTTGGGAAAAGATGACAGGCCTTTCTTTGAGGAGAGCTGGCTCCACCAGGCCAGACGGGATACCACTCTATAAAGTAGGTAAAGAACACTACCTTTCCTGAGAAAAGGTGAGAAAAAGCTGGATAGCTCAGGATGAAGTCTGCAGCAGGGGTCTCCAGACTCTCTAGCAGGATAATGGAACACATAGGAGAAAACTGTTTTATCACATGAAAAGCGTTAGCTGCAAAAAGAACAAAGCAAATTACTTCAGAAGTTGTCATTCGTCTACATCTACAGGACAAGATCTCCTGCAGCGCCATTTCCCAAGCTGGACTGACACCCCCCAGGAGGTAAACAGTAGCTCACACCTCTCCGTCCAGGCGATGCCTGCCTCAGAACCACTTCGTCTGCCCTAGCACCAAATGCCTGGCCCATTTCAAAAGCCCCAGGTCTCACTTCACTCCAGCCCGCTCGCACTGAACTTGTCAAAAGGGTTTCTCTTAAGCACAGGTCTGACCATGTCAATCCCCCTCCTAACTCAGTTAACTCCAGTGACTTCCTACCACCTCCAGGGTCAAGTATAAAACACTCTTGACATTCAAAGCCCTTCATAAGCTGGCCCTTCTACCTTCTTGGCTTCTTACACCTTCCTCACCCCCACACACTCTGCCACCCTGGCTGTTCCTCATGAGGCACTCCATCTCCCACTCTGGGCTTTTTCAATGGCTGTTCCCCATGCCTGGAATACTCTCCCTCCGATATCCATCTCCTGGCTTCCTTCAAGTCCCAGCTAAATCCCATCTTCTCTATGAGAAGGAAAGAATGAAGCAAACCAGTGCGTATTAAGCACTTACTATGTGCCAGAAACTGGGCTGAGCACTTTACAAACATCTCATCTGAGCCTCACAGCAGCACTTCAGAAGTAGGTACTATTATTATTACCCCCCATTTTATAGATGAGAAAACTGAGGCAAAGAGAGGTTAAGTGATTTCCCACAGATAGTAAGTGTCTGAGGTCAGATTTTAACTCAGTCGTCCTGACTTCAGACCTGGCACTCTGTGCATTGTGCCTCCTGGTGATCTTTCCTAATCCCCTTGTAGGCTTTTAGGCCTTTCCTGTCTTTACCTTCTTTAATTTATCCTGTCTATATCTTGTTTGTACATATATCTCCTCCATTAGACTGAACTCTTGGAGGGCAGGGACGGTCTTTTACCCTTCTTTGTATCCCTAGCACTTAGCCCAGTGCCTGGCACGCAGCAGGTGCTTAATACATGCTTATAATTAATACTGACTTCTCCTATAGCCTTCTAAGTGCTCTCCTTGTCTCCTTCTTCTCTTCTCTCCAATTCATCCCATACTCACCTTTCTACAATACGTTCTGGACAAGTCATTCATTTCTCTGTTCCAAAAACCTTCACAGCCTACTGAATTAATTAAGAGCTAGTCTGCTCCCTGGGACCCATCACAGCATGGCTCCCATCTGTTTTCCCAGCCTAAAAGCCTGCTGCTCTTCGACTAATACCCTGCCCTTTGGCCAAGCCACGCTGCTCACTGCTCATTCCAAGAACCTGGTTTCCCATTCTTATTCCCTCACACGTCTCCTTTACCTATAATACCTTTTGGCCCAGCTGAAATGATGCCCACCCCCAGCTCCTCAGTAAACATGGTCTCTAAAACCAGGCTACAGCTTTCAAGGTATTTATCATATGCCAGGTTCTATCAGTCACCTGTGTACCTGGGACCTGGGCACCCTCCCTTGTCCTTCACCCCCATGATAAGCACCAAGAGGGGCAGAGGCTGTATCTTACTTGACTTTGGATTCCTCAGGGCCTAGCACAGTGCCCTGCACATCTATATACATGCTCAATTTATATTTGAGGAATGAATAGTGATAATTCTGCAATCTTTTAATTACCTGAAGAAAGATGATCTTTGATCAAAGAGCGGACTTCCAGTTTCATATCCTTTAGGGTTTTGTCTGGCATGGAGTAGCTAATTGCTTCAATAGTTAGGGCACAGTTGGTGTGGGGAGAATAAAGATCATAGGCTGGCTGGCCCTGGCTGATGATAAAACCAAATACCTGCACTCGGCCATAAAGACAGGTCATCCGACACTTCCCAGTGAAGGTCAAAGACTAGCAGGGGAAAGAGAAAAGAAAAGAAATTTAAAGATTATAAATTTGGAGACCAACTATCAAACAATTACAAAGTTTTAAAGAACTCATTTACCACCATGTTATCTAAGGAAGGATTAATTTCTAAGCACCAAGAAAATAAGGACTTGGGAGCAGGAAGGGACTTGGGATTGTCTTAATCTAAGTCCATGAACTTTTTTTTAAATTTTTTTTTTGCTTTTAGGCAATTGGGGTTAAGTGACTTGCCCAGGGTCACATAGTAGAGTCCATGAACTTTAAAAAAATTTTTGTAACTGTACAGCAATATAATAGGTTTCCTTTGTAATCCTAAGTATTCTATTTAACGAATTTAAAAACATCCTCCTGAAAAGCGGTACATATGCTTTACCAGAACACCCCAGGGTTAAGAAGCTCTGATCTACTCTATTCACCTCATTACAGAGCTGAGAAATGGGGCTCAAAAAGTTGCCATGGGGGACCATTTCCCTTGTCCCCTCCTCCAGGCCATCCTGAATCCATCCTGGCTGGCCAGGGGGCAGGAAGGCAAGAGGAGAGAAAGAAGCTCTTCAACAAGCACTTATTCAGGGCTTCCTATGTACCAGAAACCACCTTCCCCCAGTCGTTGGACTGCTCACAGGGTTTGGATGAGATGAGAGTCAACAGCTCCATTCCCTCCTAGGAGATAAAGGGCCACTGCCACTGTCCTACTGCTATGCCCAGAATTTACAGCCTTGCTGCTCATCTACCCTCATACCCTCCAAGACTTTCCATCGGCCTTGTAGGTGAACTTTGTTTTACAAGGTGAGAGCTCTGAGAGCAGGGAGCTCTCTGATTTTTCTATTTGTAGCCTCAGCATTCAGCACGGTGCCTAGTAAATGCTTTTAATTCACTGACTCACCCATTTGGTGATCAACGTCACACAAGCGGTGAGCAGCCAAACTGGTCTTCTGTCCCAAATCTTCTTACTCTAGATGATGGGTTCTTTCCACTCTAGGATCTCCCAGGGAAGGGCAGCCTACTACAATCTCTAGGGCAGTGGTTCCTCCTCTTTTCTGTGACGTAAATCCCTTTGGAACTCTGGTGAAACCTAGGGACCCCTTTTCAGAAGGTTTTAAAATGCATCAAATACAAAGGTATAAAGGAAACCAGTTATATTGAAAGTAATCAAACTTTTTTTTAAAAGTTGACAGGTTAAGACTGTCTGCTCTAAGAGAGCTATGCCTCTACATCTAGTGAAGACTCCAAGTTCTTAACTGAAGCCAATCAGGCTGTGGTGAGATACTGACAAAAGATAGTCTCCAACACACTCTCATTCTATAGAGAAAAGCAACATCTACATGAATGGGGAATACTGTTAGCCACTAAAAAAAAAAAAAAGCAATCCAACCAGCTAATGGGGGACTATGCCATCGCGAGCGCTAAACAAACTAGTCAAAAATAGCATGTCTTCAATTTCAGATCATATATTTGGAATCCGGACATCAGAAAACCTTGTTTTAAAAAAGGAACTTCCATTGCTGGAAACCAGCATGGTGTAATACAAAGAGTACTGAGCCAAGACCCATACGTACTAGGCTCCACTCCACAACTGTATAAGCTTGAACAAGCAAGTTTCTTAGCATCCTTGGTGACTAGCTGCCACCTCTGTAAGATGCTTTTGAGGGACCAATGTCCCTTCCGGCTTAATATCTACGATGGTTCATCTCTAAAATCAATCCTTTTCCATTCCAACAATCATTTCCCAAGCACGGGTCCTGTGGCCCACGACTGGTCCCAGCTGGGCTGAGGACCCTGGCGTGGAAGGCCTAGCGATGTCATCGATTCACCGGGTTTTAAAAGGTCAGCCCTCTCACTCGGACAAAGACCGAGCCCTGGAGAGGTGGAGAAGCAGTTACTGAGTATCAAAGCCGACATCTAAACCCAGGCCTTGTTAATTACACTACAACTTGTATGCCTTTTGTTTTTTGTTTTCTTTGTAAAAGCTCCTCTGTTTCTGGTGGGTGAAAACATTGTTTCCCTTTGCTCCCCTTAGAGAGATCCAGGTCAGGAAAACTGGGTCCCAGGTGGCCAGAGAAAGGACCTGGAGATTATCGCTCAGGGGTGGGGAACCTGTGGCCTTCTAGGTCTCTGGGTTCAGCCTTTTGACTGAGTCCAAGTTTTACGGAACACATCCTATTATCAGTTATCACTAAATTAAAGGGGCGTGAGAACCGAACTCAGGACAGGAACGAAGGCCAGCTCAGATCGGCGCATCCCCCCGTGGGCTTCTGCTTCCCCGGGTGTAGGCGGGTAGGGTGGGCTGGAAGGAGGGTCTCCGGGCTACCAGAAATACACTAGCTTCAGGCGCCCCTTCCCCCGGCTCTCCCGGTCAGTGTCACTTCTGTACGGGAGGGGGTGGTGCTGGAGGTCTGGGGGAGGGAACTGTTTCCGTCCCGCCGATCACAGCCGGTCTACATCCTATAGGTCTCCGTGGGCCGGGCCGAGTCCCTGCCCCGCGAGCCTCAGTTTCCCCCCGCCCCCAGCCCCGGGGCTGACCTGCGCGTGGCTCAGCAGCATCAGCAGGCCGGCCTTGCCCCGCACCACGAAGGGCTCGCTCTGGCCGGGCGCCCGGGGCGGCTCCTCGGGCCCATCGGACTCGCCGCCCGCCTCGGGCCCCGGCGCGGGCACGGGCGCCGCGCGCTCCCCCGCGTCCTCGTCGTGCTCGCGCCTCGACCGCAGCTCGCGCAGCTGCCTCCACTCGCGCTCCTCGCGCTCCCGCCGCTCGCGCTCGCGCTCGGCGCGCTCCCGCCGCCGTGCCTTCTTCTTCTTCGCCTTCTTCTCCCGTGCGCTCCACTCGGCTCCCACCACCACAGCCTCCGCCGCTTCCTCCTCGTCGAGCCAGGCCACTCCGGCCGCCTCGGCCTGCTGCAGACGCAGCCGCAGCCGCCGCTGGCTCCCGACGGCCAAGGAGCGGGCCCGGCGCCGCGCCCGGCGGCCCACGCCCAGCGGGGAGCGGGCCCGGCGGAGCCGGGTCCAGCCCAGGCGGTTGGAGCCCTCCTTCCCGTACACCATCACGTCGGCCATGCCGCGCCCGCCGGCTCCCGCCGCTCCCTTCGCTCCCTTTCCTTGGCACCTCTCGCGAGAAGTGGCCAAGCTCCTTCCTCTTCCGCGCCCGAGGGTGTCATGGGAACGGAAGCGCCGGGCCTCCGGGCCCGCAGGCGCCCCCGCGTGGACCGCCGGCGCGGCGCGTATGCGGCGCAGGCCTTCCCCTCGCTCCCCCTCCCCCGCCTCCGGATGCGGTCTCCCACCTGGCTCTCGCGCTCCCCCCCGCCCCAGGCCCCGGAACTGACGGGCCGAACCAAAGCAGGAGCTCGTTTGCATGCCCTTACTTTGCATACATTTGTCTTGTAGCCCAGGGGAGGAGGAACCTGGGGGACTAGGGGAGAGGGGGCGGGCACGGAAAGCGGAACGACCCCGAGTTTGCCCCTGCCCGCAGGCCTTCTAACGATTTCTGTAGGCCCCGTGCGCCCCAAGTCGAACCGCAACTTTGAAGGCCCAGGTGAAGGCTCCCAGAGGAAACTGGACATACCGAAACACAGACGGACATTGACTACCCAAGTCCATGGGGCCCTGGGGTCAGGCCTGTGCCCCATCTACCCAAGAGGAGGCCTGGGCTGTCTGAAAGACCTGAGTGCAAATCCTTCCTCTAGCAGCAGGCCGACCTTGGACAAGGAAGACATTTGACCAATTGCCTGCCTCACTTTCCCCATCTGTAAATGGAAATAATAAAAGCATCCAAGGTTGTTGTGAGGTCAAAGAAAGAAAAAGTGCTTGGCACATAGTAGGCGCTTAATAAATGCTTATTGCCTTCCTCCACTAAGAGGTTTTTTGTTTTTATTTTTCCAGGTTAGCAGAGGTGGTAGCTTGTGGAGAAAGCCCTGGAGTCAGTCAGGAAGATAGAATTGTTGATGATGTAAAGCGTTTAGTTGACTCTAGGTTGAGTGGATTTGAGGATAAGAAAAATGAGATGAGATAAGAAATTTCATGGAGCCTACAGCTAATAGGGAATATATCACAAGCACAGATAATTCATACTAGAGGATACCTGGCTACAATAGATAGTATGCTGGCCTTGGAGTCAGGCAGACCTGCATTCAGATATCGCCTCTAAGGCGTGCTATACCAGAAGTGCTCAAAAAAGCCATAGATGATTGAGGGTGGGGAAGGCAGGGGTTCTTAACTTTTGGGGGGCCACGGATCCCTTTGGCAGCCCGATGAAGCTTATGGAACCTTTATTAGAATACGGTTTTTAAATGCATAAAATAGAATGTATAGGATTACAAAAGAAATAAATTATATTGAAAGTTATGAAAACATTAAAAAAAAAAGTTCACAGATCTAAAGTTAACCTAACCAGGCTGAGGAATTCAAAGAATTATATAGATTGGGCAGCTAGGTGGCGCAATGGATAGAGCTCTGGGCCTGGAGTCTCAAATCTGGCCTCAGGCACTTACTAGCTGTGTGACCCTGAGCAAGTCACTTCAACCTGTTTGCCTCAGTTTCCTGATCTGTAAAATAAGCTGGAGAAGGAAATGGCAACCCACCCAGTATCTTTGCCAAGAAAACCCCAAATGGGGTCACCAAGAGTTGGAAGCGACAGAATAACAACATAGATTTAAAGCTCTGAGAGACCTTTGAGGCTAAAATCAACCCCCGTATTTTACAGATAAGAAAACTGAGACAGAGAAGTTAAGTGCCTTCCTTAGAGATTTGAACCCAGGTCTTCCCTACTCCAAGTCCATCGTCCACAGTAATACACTGCCTCTCTCCCTCCAAGAAGTCCCCAGGCTCCAACCACAGCTCCTTTCCCTATTCCCATCTAAGTGCAATAAAGAGGTGCAGAGCAATGTGATCTGTGAGAACCGCCTTGGGAGGATGCTTAGCGAAGGATCTGTTGCTCTAGTTCCAATACAGAGTAGGGTAAACCCCCAGCTAAACTATACAAATGGGTTCTTTTAATGCAACCTCCCAGGGTTTAGCAAAACTGGCACAACAAAAACTCCACCACACCCTTCCTGATCTAAATCCACAATTGTCAAATGAGAGGCAGTGGGTGCCACCTGTCTGAGGCAAGGACAATTCATCCTCTCATTTGCCCCAAGAGCACCCCTTGGGTTCCTATGCAGAACCACAAGCCAGGAAGTCCAACTCAAGCATTTTAGCTGCCGGACTTGGGTTTTGTATATCATATCCAAGGCCCGCCCCTTTCCAAAGCATAAAATTGAGGAGGATGAGGTTGGAGCTCCAGATTCTGCCTATTTCAATCATCCTGAGCTTGCAGGACAGGAGCACCTCTGACATAAAGAGGACAAGCAGAGCTAGATTGCCCATCTGAGCAGCATGTTCTATGTTAAATCTCACCTTGTCTGCCTGCCTCTTTTCATTTCCTGTCTTTTCAGCTGTCAAGAAATGGAGACCCCTTCTGACTTCAAGATGCCTGGGGATCACATCATTGCAGGATTGTTCCCCATCCACTCTGTCTTAGAAGACAGAGACAAACCCGAGGTGACCTTGTGTGAGAGGTAAGTGAGGGATCTGAACCACTATCTCGTGGAAGTCATCCACAGAGAAGTCCTGCTTCTTCCACAACGCAATCTACTCAATGTGGAGTCAACTTGCTAATTCCTTGCCTCTGGATTTTTGCAGGACCAGGACCTCCATCTGAATTGCCCTCCCTTTTCCTAACACCCACTTACACCATTCTCTGTCACCAAGAGTTCACTCAAGACAGGCTTCCTTTGGGAATCTTTCCCTGCGATGCTCACCCATCCCCATCTATGTTTTATTCTCTTCCGTCTGCCCTTATTCAGTTGATTATTTTGCTTTGGGCTTTTTCTGTTGGATTACAATTAGGCTCCACATTTCAAGTATCTTTTTGTCTTTCCAACTAGACTCCTCAAGATAAAAGACCATGTAATAATGGCTTCTCTTTTAACACCACCTCAGAAAATGGTGATAAAAATCTGAATTCTCCTTTCCTTCCAAAAATACTGCCATGTGCAGAATCACAAGTAGGGGGTGCCATAATGCACAGAGCATGGGGCCTAGAGTCAGGAAGCCTGAATTCAAATCCTGATTCAGACACTTACTAGCTGTGGCACCTTGGACAGGTCATTTAACATCTGTCCGCCTCAGTTTCCTCATCTGTAAAATAAGGATCATAATAGCCCCTACCGTTGTTGTGAGAATAAAATGAGATATTTGTAAAGCACTCAGCACAGTGCCTAGCATGTACTAGGTGCTTTAAAAGCTCTCCTTCCCTTCCTTCCCACAGAATTTTAGAGTGGGAGGAGCCATTTAGTCCAACCTATACCCAGAAAGAAACCCCCAACCACAGGCCACCCAACAAGTAGCCTCTGCCTGAAGACATCCACAGACAAGGCCCTCAATTCCCAAGTGGCCCATCACACAAGTGAATAGTTCTAATTACTTGGGAAATTTTTCCGGACATCGAGTAATAAATTTGCCTCTTTGCAATGCTGCCTGGCATAGACAAGCCAAGTTTATAGACATAGAACAATAGGACAACAGTGACTGGACTTGTGATCTCGTTCATGTCTGGACCTCCCAGGTGAGGAAACTCCCTTCATTGATATAAGTGGGCATCTTCTCTGCAACTGATAGTCTTAGAGTGTAAGTCTAGAGCACCAAGAGGTTCACTGACTTGTCCACAGTCCCATGTGTCAGAGGTAAGACTTGAACCCAGGTCTTCCAGACTCCCAGGCTAGCCCTCTCTCTAGCCTCTACTTTCAGTAGACTAAGTATCCATATAATAAGAGGGTCACTATTACAAGTTACTGAGTGACTAAAGATAGTAGAGCAGATGGTACCTTGGGGTAAGAACTGGGCTAAAAATTCTGCCCCAGACACTTACCAGTAAGTTACATCCCCTCTCTGGGCCTCAGTTTTCTTGCCTGTAAAATGGGGGTAATGTCACATCTATATCACAGATCTTCAAGGAAACATGAAGGTCTGAATCAAATGAGATCATCTACATAGAGCCCTTTGCAAACCTTAACGTAGTATATAAATGTTAGGTATTCCATAATATAGAGGACTAGAACCCTACCTCAGTTAGGAAGAAAAAGGTCTTGGCCTCGGGTCTGGAGGTTCAGTGCTGATGACCATCCTTACTTCTCTGGCCCTGCGTTTCCCATAGGTCCAAGACCTTCAATGGCCATGGCTACCACCTTTTCCAGGCCATGAGGTACTCCATAGAGGAGATCAACAACTCCAGCTCTCTGCTTCCCAATATCACTCTGGGCTACGAACTCTATGACATATGTTCGAAGTCTGCCAATTCGTATGCCACCCTGAGCATTCTCTCCCAGCCCAGAAGCAATCTTATCAAGATTCCTGAAAACTTCATCAGCTATTCCCCCAAGGTAGTGGCGGTGATTGGGCCAAGCAGCTCTGAGCTGACCACCATGTCTGCATCTCTACTGAGCACATTCTTGATCCCCCAGGTAAGCTGGAGCCTTTGAGTCCCTGGTCCAGGTCATCAGTGCAGGAGCCATTAACATGCACCAGCTTATTCCTGTGTTATTTTCAGGTTTAGCCAATGGCTCTCAATCATTGGTTTTTGACTGATCTACACAAATTTCCTTTCTTTCCTTCTTTTTATTTCATGACCCCTTGATACCATTGTCTATCCTCCCCTTTAAGGATGAATGTCTGATGAATAAGTGACCCTTCTCCTGGACCATGCCAACTCTTCTACATGCCCCCTAATCCCATCCATTCTCATCTTCTCTAATAGATTGCCCCAGAATTGCTCCCCCTCAAACACTGACCTCTCTTTTTCCTCATTCTTTCCCTGCTGCCTTCAAAAATGCCTGTCTCCCCAATCCTTCAAAAGCACTACCATCTCCTCAAACTATTGTCTTCTGTCTTTCCTTTTCTCAGCCAAACTCCTAAAAAAAAAAGGTTTCTACACTCATCCCCTCTACTGCCTTCCTCTCATTCTTTTCTACACTCTGCAATCTGAAGGTCGACCTCCTCACTTAGCTGAAATGACTTTCCTCACAGTTGCCAATGATCTCTTAACTGCCGAGGCTAAAGGCCTTTTCTCAGTTCTCCTCCTTCTTGACCTCTCTACAGCATTTGACACTGTTGCTCACCATTTCCTTCTGAATAACTTTTTTCTGAATGCACCCCTCTTCTTCCATAGTTCTCTCGAGATCACCACCACCAGGTTCCCAACATTGGTGTTACTGTAGGTCAGTTGGTCTTACTTGGCCCAGATAGACATTGCTAACTGGATTCCTACTTCCCCATCTTTTCTCTGTCTTTTAGAGCCCTTCATAACCTGGTCCCTTCCTACCTTTCCAGTCTTCTTACACACCCAGTGACACTGGCCTCTTTGCTGTTCCTTCCACAAGACAATCCATCTCTGGGGAATCTTCTCTGGCTATTCCCCCATGACTGAAATGCTCTCTCCTCCTATCTGCCTCCTACCCTCTCTGGCTTTCTCCAAGTCTCAGATAAAATTCTACCTTCTACAAGAAGGATTTTCTTATTCTCTTAGTGTTAGGGCCTTCCCTCTGTTGATTAGCTCCAATTCATCCTGTCTCTGTCCTGTTTGTACGTAACTGTTAGCATATTGTCTCCTCGATTAAATTGTGAACTCCCTGGGGTCAGGGACTGACTGTGTCTTTCTTCATATCCCCACACTAAGCACCATGCCATATAGTTACAGAGCCAGCACTTCATAAATGCACACTGACTTGACTGTCCTAAATGCCCCCCTCTTTCGGCTCAGACATTCACCATCTTAGTGCAGACCTTCATTGCCTCTCACCTGGACTACTCCATAAGCCTGTTCATTTGTTTCTGCCTCAGGTCTCTCCCCACTCCAGTCCTTCCTACGTATAAGCACTACAGTGATATTTCTAAAGTACAGGTCTGAGCCATGTCATTCCCTAGCTCATAGGGCCATGGAATCATAGATTTAGAACCAGAAGAGACTTTACAAATAAGGAGACAGAAGCACAGATACAGTAAATGGACTTGCTTATGGTTGCACTGCTCATATGTATCTGAGGTAGGATTTGAACTCAGGTCTTCCTCTCAGGCCAGTACTCTACCTACTATACCACACAGCTTCTCAATGCACTCTAGAAGCTTCCTATTACTCTTGGCTCAAATGTAAACTTCTCTGCTTGGCATTTGAAGTACTCCACAACTTGAGTTTAACTTAATTTCCAGCCTTATTATATAATACTGCCCTTCATCTATGCTGTGGTTCAGTTAAATTGACCTTCTGTGCCCTTGCCTAGCTGTCTTCCATGCCTGGCATGTACTGCTTCCTCGCCTCTGCCTCTTAGAATCCCTTAAAAGCCTCAAGTGCCCCCTTCTTCATGAAGCCTTTCCTGATTTCTCCCTTCCCCCCAATTCCCTATAGTCCTGTTTTGTATATACTTATGTGTATGTGTGCATGCATGTGTACACACACACACACACACACACACACACACATACACATCTCCCTCCCTCGAAGGTAAACTTGAGAGCAGGATTATTTTATTTGCGTCTTGGTGTCCCCAGCACCTAGCAGAGTGCTTAATCTTTGGTCTTTGATCGATTCCTTCCCCATAGATCAGCTACGGGGCAACCAGCAGCACATTAAGTGAGAAGAGGGAGTACCCCTCATTCCTGCGCACGATCCCAAGTGACGTGTACCAGGTTCAGACGATTGTGATGCTGCTGAAGGAGTTTGGGTGGTCTTGGATCTCCATGATTGGCAGTGACAATGAGTACGGTTTGCAGGGAGTTCAGATGCTGGAGGACTTGGTCACTGAACAGGAAATCTGTATCGCCCATAAGGATTTTGTGCCCATTTCAGCCCAAGCTGATGACAGCATAATGCAGAATATGGTGCTGTCGCTCACAAAGTTGGGAGCCAAGGTGGTGATTGTCTTCTGTACTAGAAATCAAGCCCGTGTCTTCTTTAAGGCAGTGGTGCTGGGGAATGTGACTGATAAAGTGTGGCTAGCCACAGAAGACTGGTCCATCTCCAGTTACATCACACAGGTGTCTGGCATTTCAGGGATTGGGACAGTGATTGGGGTAGCTATCCCACAGAGACACATCCTTGGATTAAAGGAGTTTGAAGAGGCTTACATCCAGGCTAAGAAGACCTCAGAGCCATCAACTGATCCTGCCCAGGATGGAGATGATCAGATCTGCAATCAGCACCTGTTTCTTACAACAGATATGAATACTGAGCTGAGTGCATTTTCCATGAATTCAGCCTACAATGTGTATGCTGCTGTGTATGCTGTGGCCCACGGGCTGCACCAGCTCCTGGGCTGCTCATCAGGAGTCTGTACCACAGGCAAGATCTATCCTTGGCAGGTGAGAGGGGGAAGCTTGGCCTCCACAAAGCATTATTCTGGAAGGATTATTCTCCAGAATCCTTTGGTACCCAGGGGACTCACTCCATTCCTCTTAGAGCACTAGATCAGAGTAGACCTCTCCACACTCTCAGTGTAGAAAGGGAATGGGAAAGCCAGGAAATCAAAGGTAAGTCCCTTGAGGAAAATTCTCATCTCCTCACATTTTCCCGTTCTCCTCCCTGTCGTGCCCCTGGCTTCCTAAAGATGAAATTCAGAAGTAAAAACCTCAACAGGGGAACCCTCTACCGATACGACATCTCACTTGGGAAAGGGAAGAGATCCCATGGAAGGGGCTATCTCTCTCTAAATAACCCAGACCTGGCTGGGCTCAACACTTTCCAAGAAAGTAGATTCCTACCTTGGTGCTTTTACTTCCTTCCTCTCTCTCTCTCTCTCTCTCTCTCTCTCTCTCTCTCTCTCTCTCTCTCTCTCTCTCTCTCTCTCTCTCTCTCTCTCTCTCTCTCTCTCTCTCTCTCTCTCTCTCTCTCAAGGAGGCAGTCAGGTTAAGTGACTTGCCCAGGGTCACATAGCTAGTAAGTGTCTGAGGTCACATTTGAACTCAGGTCCTCCTGACTCCAAGGCCAGTGCTCTATCCACTGTGCCAGCTAGCTAGCTGCCGTATTTCCTCTCTTTTTAAACAGCTCTCATCTTGCATTCTTTGGGTTCTCAAAGGAAGCTCTGTACAGTTTGTGGTTGGGGTACATGGTTGCTATATATTGTAGCTGCTGGAGGAGATCAAGAAGGTGGATTTCATGCTGCTTGGAAACTCTGTGTCCTTTAATGAAAATGGAGATCTGTTCAGTCGATATGATATTGTTACGTGGGACTGGAATGGCCCTAACTGGACCTTCAAAGTCATTGGAGCTTCCACATGGTTCCCTATTCACTTGAAAATAGATCAGACTAAAATCCGCTGGTACAAAGGGAAAAAACAGGTAAGAAGCCACCTCTGGGAATCACATTGGGATAATCACTGGCCAGGTCACTCTCTGATAAAGCAGTCTAGTGTCCAGAACTTAGGGGTGCCTGAGGGATGTCAGGGTGGGATAGTTTCCACAAAGCTGTAAATAAAAATTCGCAGTATGCCAGACCCTGAGGCGGTTTTGAGGGCACAATTCTTATCTATGGCTACTAGGAAAGTCCAAAGGGAGATTATCCAGTAAGTGAGCCCTGAAATGGCGAGATTCTGACATCTGTCCTTCTTGCCTGGCTTCCTGAGCCTTTTTACAGTATTGCCTTTTAAGGTCCCTCCTGCTCATCCCCCTCCTTTGGCTGTAGCCCCTTCCAGTCTGAAGTTGGGATGCCTGTGGTTTTATCCAGGTGCCTCGGTCAGTGTGCTCAGAGGAGTGTCCAGCAGGAGAGTCACGGAGGATAGTGGGACCACAGTACTGCTGCTTTGAATGTGTGCCCTGTCCAGCTGGGACCTTCCTCAACAGCAGTGGTGAGTGGCCAGCCTGCTTCCTCATAGTTCCACAAATTAAAAGACTCCTCCCCTGCCACCCCTTCCTGAGACCAACACGTCCAAGTCTTAGCAAGCTTTTACATCACCCTGTATAGTAATCACAGACATTTTTATGGCGCTTCAAAATTTACAAAGCAGTTATTCTCATCAGGAAAGGTAGAACTGAGGCTCCACGGTCATTTTATCATGAGGTAGAAAGACCTGGGCTCAGATTCTGCCTCAGCCACCTCATGTGGCTCTGGGCAATTCACTTAATCCCAACTCATTGTTTCTAAATTCATAAAACGGGGATAAAAAGAAGTACCTACCTCACCAAGCTCTTTTAAGGATCAAATGAAATAGTATTTGTAAAGTGTTTTGTAGGTGCTAGGGAGTGCCATAGTGCATAGAGCGCTGGGCCTGGAGTCAAGAACGCTCATCTTCCTGAGTTCAAATCTGGCCTCAGATACTTACGAGCTGTATGACCTGGGTAATTCACTTAACCTCTGTTTGCCTCCGTTTTCCCATCTGTAAAATGAACTGGAAAAGGAAATGGCCAACCACTCCAGAATCTTTGCCAAGAAGACCCCAAATGGGGTCACTGAGAGTCGGACACAACTGAGCAACAAAAGTGTTTTATAAAACTGATAGTATTATATAAATGTGAGTCACTATCTCATTAGGCAGCTTCCTTATGCTTAGTATCCATAATGGGGCAAAAATTGTGCTCAGAGTAGATTAAAACCCAGGGTGGAAAGACACAGCCATGAGCACCAGAACGTCTTTAGGCCTAAGCTCATTCTATAGCTTCTATTTCACCTCCTAAAGGTTACAGCCTATTCCCACCACCTCATTAAAACTGGCTTCCCTTCATATTCCTTCAAAGAGGCCTATACATGGGCCCTATTTGCAGGGCTCCATATCATCTGATGATGCCATACTTATCATGTCCTTCTCTGACTTCCTTTGCCAAAGTACAAATGGTAGAATCTTTCCAGTGGACAAATTTGTGGCAGACCTACACTGTCTTATATATAGTAGTTCATGGCCAAGATCAGTCTGTCAGTCAGTCAACAAGCATTTATTAAGTGTTTACTGTGTGCCACACACTGTGCAATCGTAGTGACCAGTTAAAGTGGCTTATTCTTCCCAGTCTGGTTTTAGGTTGGAGTTTCCATATCCTTTTCTCAGAATACTCTTGATCTATATTCGTTTCTGCTCTTAAAAACCCCAAAACAGAGAAACTGTTGAGCCCTAAGTTAGGAAGGCAAGTTTGGTTGATGGAAATATTGGCGGGAAAGACAGAAATCACCTTCCTCTTCAGAGTGGTGAAAGCCATCTACACAAATGAAATGTATCCATTTGGATGAGGAGAGGGGCCCTTACAGTAACTGAGCACAAGAGGAAGGAGTCTGCTTTCCTCTGTTTACATGGACTACGAGGATAACTGATAACCCCAGGGCTGTAGTGGTACCCACAGAACTAAAGCCTACAGAAGGGCCTCTGGGATATGTGTGTATGTAGCTCTAAGAAGGATACTGCAGGTCATGGAACAGAAATCTCCTGTTCAAGATGAGGAGATGCAGATGGGATCGGATCTTCACTGAGAGCTTACTGAGACAAAAGCTGTGTCAAAGTATTCCAAGCTAGAGCCCTGTTTATCTGTTTGTCCTGTAGTCTGGCCAGTGCTTTGCACATGGCTAATAAACTTTGAAGCTCTCTTAGGCTGAGGTGACAGCCTCTCTGCTCAGGCTTCTTCTTCCCCTTACTTACAGACCGGTACCGTTGTCATCCATGTCAGAAAGAAGAATGGTCCCCAGAGGGCAGCCACACGTGCTTCAACCGCACCATTGAGTTCCTCGCCTGGCACCATCCAGTCTCCTTGGTGCTCATGGGGGCTAACACACTGTGCTGCTCCTTTTGGCAGGGGTGACCAGCTTGTTTGCCTGGCACCTGGACACCCCTGTGGTGAGATCGGCCGGGGGCCACATGTGCTTCCTCATGCTGGGCTCCCTGGCGGGAGCTGGCTGTAGCCCCTACTGCTTCCTCGGGGAGCCAACGCCTCTCACCTGCCTGCTGCGGCAGTCCCTCTTTGCCCTGGGCTTTGCCATTTTCCTATCTTGCTTAACCATCCGCTCCTTCCAGCTGGTGGTCATCTTCAAGTTGTCAGCCAAGATGCCCACCCTCTACCATTCCTGGGTGCAGCACCATGGGCCCAAGATCTTTGTGGTTATGAGCTCAACTATCCAGCTTCTCATATGTATCATGTGGCTGGTGGCTTGGACCCCCTGGCCCACCAAGGAGTATAAGCAGTTCCCAGAGCTGGTGGTGCTGGAGTGTTCCAACAACAACTCTCCAGGTTATGTGCTAAGCATTCTCTACACCTGGCTACTCTCAGTTAGCTGTTTCGCCTGTAGCTATGTGGGCAAGGATCTTCCGGAAAACTACAACGAGGCCAAATGCATCACCTTCAGCCTACTCCTCTACTTTATTTCCTGGATTGGCCTCGCCACCACAAATGGTATCTACCGTGGCAAATACATGACAGCCATCCATGCTCTGGTCATCATGAGCAGTCTCGGTGGTGTTTTCAGTGGCTACTTCCTCCCCAAGTGCTACGTCATCCTCTGCCGCCCAGACCTCAACACCACTGAGTATTTCCAGGCCTCTATCCAAGATTACACACAGCGCTGCAGCTCCCCCTAAGTGTCTCAGCTTGGGAGGGGAAGGAAGGGGAGGATGAATGGTTGGATGGAGGGATGGGCAGGGTAGGGCTAGGTAGAGTTGGGGAATAGGGTGAGGAAAAATGTGAAGTCTCAACAGGACATATACTCTTCTTTCCTGAGGTTTGGTAGCTACGCTCACAGAATCCGAGCTGAAGGGACCTCAGAGGCTGGTCCAAACTTTAGCTAACCAGGAATCCTCCTCATAACAGCCAATGGAAGTCAGAAGGAAGCTCAAAAGCTATAAAGTCCAATCCGTATATAACCAAGAATTGTCTCCTCAACAACTGATTATTTCAATCTCTCTTTGAAGACATCCAGTGATAAAGAACTCACTAACTCCAGAGGCAGCCCATTCTAATTCTGAATAGCTTTACTCCTTTGGAAGTTTTTCCTAACATTAAGTTTAAATCTGCCTATCAACTTCCACCCATTTTAGGATTTTAGGATTTAGAGCTGAAAGGGGTAGTGGAGCTCATGTGTGGAAGGTGGTATAGAGGGCTGATAAATAGATTTAGAACTGGAGTATTTGAGATCATCCAGTAGAATGCCATCATTTTTAAATGAGGAACCTGAGGCTGAGGAATTATTTGCCCATGGTTACACAGATACTCCATAGCAGAGTAGGGATTCAAACCCTGATTCTCTGACTCTGGTACTGTTCCAGATGCACACCTTGCTACCCTTTAAGTAACAGGATCTAAAACCAGGAAGGACTTTAGAGATTACCTAATCCAAATTCTTCATTTTCTAGAGGAGGAAACTGAAGGACAGAGGAAAAGTGACTCCTCCAAAGTCACAGAAGCAGTAAGTAGCAGAGAGAGACTCCATCTCCAAACAAACACCTATAACTACTAAGCTTCTTGAAGTCTCTTTACCAGAAAGAATAAAATGGAAACATGAATCATAGGCTAATCGATCTAGTGGGATAGTGGAAAGAAAGCTGGATTTGGAGTCCAAGATCTTGTTCTGCCTCTCACCACCGGTGTGATCTTGGGCAAATTACTTTCAGGTCTCCTCAGGTTTCCTCCCCTGTAATAAGATGACTTCTAAGGACCTTCCCCAATTCTACATCTATGATTCCATGAGTCTGAGAAGCAACCTAGTCCGTCATTTTGCAGATGAGGAAACAGGTTCACAGGGGAAATGACCTGCACAGATCACCGTAGCAAAGCCAAGATTCAGTCTTCTGGATCCAAATTCAGGCCCCTGCACCAGGCTGCCCTAGCTTGGGGTGAGGGGGACGGGGAGCAGACGTCACCAGCGGGGAGGTGGTTAGAAAAGGTTTCACCCGGGGGCTTGGAACCAGGAGACTCGAAGAGGGTCTGGTCCAGTCCCTTCATTTTACAGAGAAGGAAACAGGCCCAGAGAGAGAGAGAGAGCTAGTCCAACCCCGATGTGTTTTACAGGGGAAGAAACACAGGCCTAGAGAGGTGAAGCTATTGCCCACGGTCCCCCAGCTGGGGAGCAGCGGAGCTGGCCCTGGCGCCGAGCTTCTCGGGCACCAACCCTGGGCACGGTGCCCTTCCTTCCTCCCCAAAGAGGCAGCCTAGCCCAGGGACCGGACTAGACAAGGACGCTACAAAGAACATGCCCCGCCTCCGCTTTCGGCTTCTTGGGGAGCCCCGCCCCCGGCCGAGGAGGGGCTGACCCCACGACCCCGGGGCGGTCCGGCAGCTAGCCTGGCGCGCGCAGCTGGGCCCGCCTCCGTCTGGGGGCGAGGCCGAGTTCGCCGCTCTGCCGTTGCCTAGGCAATGCGGGAGGCGGGGAGGTGGAGCGCTCACCCCGCGCGATCCCATTGGCCGCCTCTAAGACCCTCTGAGTGGCTGAGAGGTCGAGCAACATCCGGTCGCTCCCGCTTAAGCTGACCGCTCCGGCTTAAGCTGACCACCCCCGCCTTCCACCCCAACCCCCTGCGGTTTCTCATTGGCGTCTGGCGACGAACTCCGCTCTGACCCCGAGGCCGCGCGTCGCCCCGCCCCCGTCTCGTGCGCCCCACGTCACGTCCGGCGGCGGTTGTTCTCGGCTTCACTCGGTGCGACTGCGCACGGTTCGCCTCTGGCAGTTCCTCCGGGGGAGCTTGGCAGGCGCTGGGGAGTCTCCGGAGCGGGCCGGGCCCGGGGCAGGTGAGGCGGCGGGGCGCGCTCTCGGGGAGGGGCGGAGAGAGGCGCGGGGACGCGCCGCCTAGGGAGCGTCGAGCTGTGCTCAGCCGGGCCGTGAGGCGCAGAGGGGCCGGCGGCGGGGCGGGGGCGGGACCGGCCACCGGGACTGGGCCGGACCGGCGGGGCTCGCGGCCTCGCCTGTTAATCGGGCCCCGCTAGCGCGCTCCACTTGAACCGCGCTCTGTGACCGGACCCTGTTAGCCGTCCAGCTGTCCTGATGGGCGGACTGCCCACCAACCTTGTCCTGTTAACGGAATTCGCCATTGCCGTGACCCAGCCTTGCCCCCCACGACCCGCCGCCTCCCCCTGGGCCCCAGGGCCCGTGCCCCCATTAACTTTTCTCTGACTCTTTCTCTCCACCGGCCGCTTCCCTGCTGACTACGAACATGCCCATGTCTTCCCCCCTCCAAAAGACCCTCCCTTGATCCGCTGTCATGACCCCGGTGACCGTAGCAGGCCAGTGCTGACCCTGGGGGTTTTATGGTTTGCCATTTCCTCCTCCAGCTCATTTTACGGATGAGTAAACCGAGGCAGGGTGAAGTGACTTTCCCAGGATCACACAGCTAGTAAGCGTCTGAGGGCAGATTTGAACTCAGGTCTTGCTGACTCCGAGCCATCCAGCGGCCTCCTGCTCCACTGTACACACTGGCTGTCATCCCGTTTCCCTCCTCCCTTCCATGGCCAAACCCTTGAGAAGGCTTTCTACGATCAGCTCTTCCCTCAGCTCTCTGCAGAATGGTGTAACCAAAACTGTTCCCTCCTCTTAATCACCAGATCCTGTGGCCTTTTCTCATTCCCCACCCTTCTTCTCTCGGTAGCCTTTGGCACTGTTGATCACACTCTTCTCACTACCGTCTTTTCTCTCTCTCTTGTTCTCCTCCTGCTCCTCAGGCTGCTGTCCTGGGTTTTCCTCCAGGTCACAGCTGCTAACAGCAGGTGCCCTTCAAGTCTGTGTCCTTGATCTTCATCTCCTCTCCTCTCCTCTCCCTCTGTACCAGAGGGTCAGCAAACTGCAGCCATCCACTGCCTGCCTGTTTTTGTACAGCACTCCATCTAAGAATGGTTTTTACATTGTTGTTAAATACAATAAAGCTTAATTTTAAAATGTAAAAACCATTCTTGGCTTGCAGGCTGTATGAAAATAGACAGTAGCCACCCCATGCTCTATACTATATCCTTTGGTAATCTCATCAGGTCCTATGGATTCAGTTATTATTTCTATGCTAATGATTCCCAGCCCTAGCCTCTCTCCTGACAAATACTCTCCCATCTCCAGCTGGCTATTGGACACTTCAAACTGTATGTCTTATAGAGATAGATCTTAAATGCAACATGTCTAAAACTGAACTCATCTTTCCCCCCAATTTTCCTATTACTGTCAAGGGCACCATCATCCTCCTGGTTACCCAGGCTCAAAACCTAGGTGTCAGCTGCTCAATTCCTCTTCTCCTCCATATCCAATCTGTTGCAAAGTCTTGTTGATTATACCTTTTTAACATCTCTCATATATGCCTACTTCCTTCCTTTGACACTGCCACCATCTTGGTGGTGACAATGTCAGTCTTGTATTCAACAGTCTCCAGTGTCTCCCTGCCACCTTCAGGATCAGTCCTTCATAACCTGACCCCTTCCTACCTTTCCAGTCTTCTTACACCTTAACTCCTCCCCATCTCTTTGACTTAGTGATACTGGCCTCTCACTCCCATTTCCCAGCCCTAGACTTTCTCAACATTCTCACTCCTTTCCTCCGTCTTCTGCCCTCTCTGACTTCCTTTAAGTCCTGTTTTCTATAAGAAGCTTTTCCCAGTCCTTCTCAATATTATTGTCTTCTCCCTGTGGATCATCTCCAAATTATTCTGTATATCTAGTTTCTAATAGATGTTTGCATGTTGTCTTCTGCAGTAGACTGTGAGCTTCTTGGGGACAGAGACTGTTTGTTGCCTTTCTTGTCTGTCCCCAGTGCCGAGTGCCAGGCACTTAGTAGACACTTAAAAAATGCTTGTTGACTGACTCACCATTTACCATGTTCTGCTAGCTGTCATTCATATTAAATGAGCCGTTTGCCATAATTTTCCATTATCTGTATTCCCCATTGATCATGACTCACTAGTACTCCCATTAACCATTTTCAGCTAACCATATTACTTCCTTTTATAAGGTTTTATTGATGTCTGTTTTCATAGTTTTCCTCAGTAACTCTCTCCCAACCCTGCCAGAGAGCCATTCCATGTGACAATATTTTTTAAAGACGAGAAAAAGAAGAGAAAAATCAATTCAACTGATCAATTCTTTGAAAAAGTCCAGAATATGTCCAGTGAGTAACACCTGCAGGCCCCCCCCTCCACAAAGAGGTAGGCTTGGGTTGTCCTCTCCCGTCTCTTCTTTTGAGTCATGCTTGAGCTTTATAGTTTTGTTATGTTCACAAGTTTTTATTGATTTTTTTTTACATCATCATAGTTTTCCCCAGTATTCTTTCCCTCCATCCCTCCAGCCATTCCATACAACAAATAATGTTTTTAAGACAAAAAAAAATCAGCCAAGCTTATTGATACATGTGCAACACCTGTGTGTCTCCTACCTCTGAAGGGATGAGTTGGGGATATCTTCTCTCAGCTCTTGGTTTGAGGCCTGCTGGATCTTTGTCACTTTGTTACAGTCACTTTTGGTTCGGTTTGGTTTTGTTGGCTTGTGGTTTTTTGGTTGACATTATGTAGATTGTCTTCTTGGCTCTGCTTACCTTACTCCGGATCAGTTAATGTCGATCTTCCCAGATTTCTCTGTATTCATCATATGCATCATTTCTTACAGCATAGGCATATTCCATTACATTCACATGCCAGAATTTGTCTAGCCATTCCTGAATTAATGGGCCTGTACTTTGTTTTTAATTTGTAGGTATCACTAAAAGCGCCACTATAAATATTTTGGCATATAAAGGGACTTTGCTCTTATTAATGACGTCTTTGGCATATCTAAGCCCAGTAATGAACTCTCTCATTCAAAGGGTATAGATATTTTAATCACTTTATTTGCATAATCCCAAGTTGTTTTCTAAAATGGTTATACCATTTCACAACTGCACCAGCCACCTATTAGTGTGTCTGTCTTTCCGCAACCCCTCCAGCATTGACTATTGTTTTTTGTTTTTGTTTTATTATCATCTTTGCCCATTTGTAGGATGTGAGGTGAAACTTCAGCATTGTTTGATTTGCATTTCTCTTATAATTAGTGATCTGAAGCATTCTTTCAGGTGGTTGTGAATACTTTGCAGTTCTTCTTTTGAAGACTGTTTATATCCTTTGACCATTTATCTACTGGAGAGTGGCTTTTAGTCTTAAATGTATTTGTTAATTGTTTGTATATCTTGGACACCAAACCCTTAGAGAAATTTCATACCAGGTTTTTTTCCCCCCATTCAACCATATTCCCTCCTAACCGTGCTGCTTATTAATTGTGCCAAGTTAACTTTTT